AAACTCTTAAAAAGATGCTAATGGTGGATTGGTGAATCGAGGAGATAATTTATTTTGATTATATTGGATGAAAAAATCAACGTCCCCTGTTTGACCCCTGGTATTTGAGATTATAAATTTTGGAATACTCCCTTTTTTTTGAAGAATGTGTGGTTAAAAAATAAGAAAAAATTTCGGATTTACGTGTAATATCATTTATTGAAGAATGTGAGATTGATAAGAAGAAAGAGAAAAATGGAATATCGTTTTAATGGGAGCCAAACGAGGTCTTCCATGTGAAGTTAGTTTTTGAGCACAATAGGTTGTTCATGTGATTCAACTCGTCGATTGAAAATGGTTATGGCTTGCTTAGTTGATAGACACAATTGTGTGCTTTGATTTGAGTTTCTTGGGATATTAGATCTTTGCTTCGTATCCTCTCTTGCCTGTATGTTTGGAGAAGGTTATAACTGTCTTATCTGTTTCTCCATATTTTTTGATTTATTCTAGTTTCCACATGAAAAAGCACTCATCTCTTCTGAGGCTTGACACATTTGATGTTTATGACTAACAGAGAAATAGATAGAGAGGAATTCAAGAAAGTAATGAGCTGGATGCGATCACACAATAGACAAGGGGCTGTCCACAGTGATGGACTTCGAGCAGGGCACAAATTAGGAGATTCAGCTGAAAATGGAGGCCTGGTGGAGTACTTCTTTGGCAAAGATGGCAAGTTGCGCCTCCAACACGACAAATTTGTCCAATTCTTGAGAGATCTGCGTGATGAGGTATGTCATATCCTCGAAATCAGAAAAAGATTGACCTGGAGAAGTTTATCTTCACAACTTATAATCAATTATATTACCTTAGTCAATGCCTTGAGTGCTTATATACTTATTCCGATATCTCAGTTATTATCATGCACGGGCATCAATGGTTTGTTATAGTTCTTATATCTTGTTCTTCAAACCACCAGAGGCAGATTACAGTGAGTGTTACGATTTGATGTTACATCTGAACCTGAGAGCTTAACAGAGGTGTTCACAGTTTCTTTTGTCATCCAAGAGAGTTGTGGATGCTTGTGCTTTGAGTTAGACATCGGCCATACTGTAATAATTAAAACAGCAAAGTTTTGTAACCTTGGGTGAAAGTTACTTTCTTAGCCATTTAAAATGTTGCACGGAGTTTGAATCTTTCAGAATTACGAATTCCATAGTTCACGGGCACTCTATTTGCACTGTCCATCAGTTTTTCACTTGCTGCACGTTTTGATATTTTTTAAAGTTCCCTGCATCTCGTTTACACTTGGTTTTTCCTCGATAGATTTTACTGCTGGAGTTCATCCTTTGTATGGTTATCCATAGTATGTATGTTCTTACTTGTATACTTCACAGATGCTAAGTCTGGAGTTTGCCCATTATGACTACAAGGTACAAGGAACAATATCTGCCAAAGATTTTGCTCTGACCATGGTGGCATCTGCTGATATGAAGCACTTGAATAAATTGCTTGATCGGGTTGATGATTTAGATAATGTGCCACGTCTCAGAAATATGCGCATCACGATTGACGAATTTAAAAGTTTTGCAGAGCTGCGAAGGAAGTTGCAGTCATTTTCTCTTGCACTTTTTAGTTTTGGACAAGTTAATGGGCTGTTGACGAGGAAGGATTTACAACGAGCTGCTTCCCAAGTAGGTTTTTGTGTTTAGCTTTTCAACTTCAATTTTTATAGTGTATGTTGTGATGGAATGGTTAACTTTAGTTTTTGATCTCTCTTTTTTCTTGATAAATTAGATTTTGATTCGGAATATTATCTTTTTCCGTATGCTGAGCTGTGAGGACAGCTCACTAGCTGTCCCGAGTTTTGATTGCTTTGTAGCCCTAAGACTCTTTTAACTTTTCGTCACTATAAATGTTGACTTGGATTATGGCCAGTTTAGTTGGTTCTACACATGTTCTTAGAACTTCTTCTCACTATTTGGTAGCTTAAATATCGCTAGTGACTCTTGGCATTATTATTCTGCAGGTTAAATATTAATGTGCTTCTCAACTTCATTACCTACCTTCGAATCACAGCACACTACAGATACACGAGGGCGTTGTACTTATCTAGCTTAAATACATTTGAAATATTATTAACTACCTGAGAGTGGTTACATAACACATTGGACATGCGCTCATACCCAGCTTATTACGTTTTCCTCATCCTCAATGCGAGAGCTTCTCTCGTCAAATACTGTGTATGCCTTTTCTTCTCCATTTTGTATTGTACTTCCATAAGGGTGATTATTCTTGCATAGGTTCAAACTTATGTGCGTATTTTCCACTTCTAGTCAACCTAAAATTTTATGTTGAGTGATTGAGCTTGGGCTATGTTAAAATGCAGGTGTGTGGCATCTCTCTTACCGACAATGTGATTGAGATTATCTTCCATTTGTTTGACACAAATCGTGATGGAAGTTTAAGTGCGAGCGAGTTTGTAAGAGTTCTACAGAAGCGGGAAAGAGATATTGCACAACCCACAGAGGCAGGCATGTTGAGCTTTTTGTCCTGCTGTGGGGACTGTAGAAAAACCTACTCTATTGCAAGGTTGTTATCCTAAAGATTATGAATTTATATAATTGGGGATTAGATCTCCTGTTTCCCTTCCCACTTTGTAATATAGCAAATAAAAGAGATTGAATTGAATGTTCTGAGATTGGGTTGGCAACGGCTTGGTTATGGGTTGGTTCAGTCAAAATCATAACCGCACCATCAATTTTTTGATCATACCATAACCACACAATAATTACGTAAATCGGTACAGTTCGGTTAATAACTACGAAAATAAATTATTTTTTATAGGTTCATCCGTCAAATTGATATAAAACAATTTATGAAAAAATTCAATGAAAATAAAAATACAATATATTGTATTTGACCACGCCTCGAACTTGGCTCAAGTCTATACTATAATCAGTACTGATTGAATTTATCCTCTTTTCGAAAAAATTTGAAACAATTTCTGCATCAAATCTTGAAAATGCGTCTCTGGAATTGGATATAAAATGCAATCAATTTACAGATACAACAAAAATGACCGAGATGAAATTTTTGTTTCAATAATCTTGATTAAGAAGGCCCCTTACTGGAGGTCCTGTCTTTTCTTGAAAACTGAAGTCCAATTTGATTCAAATTGAAGTCGTATGGAAAATTTTCTGGAGGCGATAACAACTTGGATCGTGAAGGTAGTAGAGCTGTACGTGAGTTTGTGGAGAGTAGGGTTTACATTTATATACTGTCATATTAATGTTACTATTATGGGTTAATGGTAAGTGGGCTGGCTGGTTGGGTCAAGTAGATGTTATGGGAGTATTTTGTTTTGGGCTGGATAAAAAAATGGTGTAAAGCCCAATAATCAATTCATATATATATATATATATATTTATTTATTTATTTATTTATTTATTTATTTATTTATGTTTATTTTTAGAGGCGAACCAGTTCATTAAAATCAAATACTATATTCGTTTCATTGCACCATCGGTTCGATTTTTTCTCCCCATTTGATTCGGTTAACCGTGATTTTCGATTTTGACGGTTCAAATTGTCATTCCTATTCTGAGATTACTTAATATTCCTGAGCATTACTAAACAAGCACTTTGTCAACAGAGATCTGCATGAAAAAAGTGAAGCTTTAAACTTCATTTGTTCATGTATTAGGAGGAAAATTTCAGTCTCCATATCGAAGAAAATAATTATAAACTCAAAGAATTTGACTTAGACAAACAGGTCCTAAAAGGAGGCGCACGTGAGGGAAAAAAACAAAGCGCTTGGGCAAACAGGGTCTTCTCCCTTTCTCGAATATGCGTGTTTTGTCCAAAACTGAACCCGTTTGACTCCCTCCAAGATTTGTTTGGCATCTGGAGCTCCAGATAAGTATCGGGCTGTCTTTCCCTCCACTTTTACGGGTGCCCCACCAACTGCTTATTGTATCGTTCGTTTTACGCGCTACTCCCGCCAGCTAATTAGCAACTTAAAAAATTTGAAATTACGTATCCATAAACCTTCTATAACAGGAACGTTAATTACGTACTAATAGCTTTTTAGATTTTGTCGAGGAATATTTGATTGGATCATATCATAAATAAGAAATTTAGCAAAAAGAATTTTCTCTTGCAAAATGCGATTTAACAATTTTGAAATAATTTTTGAAAAATACAAAAATAATAATAATAATAATAATAATAATAAATAAATAAAAATGCAATGTCCCGTCTTTTTAGAAGACATCAATTTAATTTTTGTTAAAAGGTATTTAGAGATGACAAAATTCTCCATTTGAATCCATCCACATGGTTTCGACATGAATGGGGTGAGAAATCCCTTAACTCATCCCGAATTATTTCATTTTAGTTTTAGTTTTGTTCAATTAAATCATATTAAAAAACTTAAATTAATGAAGCAATGCAGTAATGGAATTTTAATTCCGTCCCCAGCCCCTGCATCCCGGAAATCTCTGACAAGATGGAAATGGAAATGGCTGCCATCGACCCAACTTGTACAATTGCCATCAAGCATCAAAGTACCATATAGGAATTCTAACTATTTTTCAATGTCATGATATATTTAGTGCACCAAATGACAATATGTGATAGCAAATTTTGAATATTAGCGACTCTGTTTTTATATTTATCATTTGAAAATTAAAATAATAAAAGATCAAATCTAAATTAGGAAAGTCAAATACGAATAATATTACTTTTATATTGTAAAATAATAATAATAATTGGTGTTTAAATAATTAAAATGTCTAAAAACTAAAGTCTTAAAAACTTCATTTTTATTTCTTATAGTGAAAATGCCCTTAATTCAAATTTCTAGGTTATTTCCTATATTATTCTTTGATATTTGAGAAAACATGAAATTCAATTATTGCAATTTATAATAAAACACCAAGTAATGGCAACAAAATTTAACGCAATAGAGAAAAATATTGAAAGTTGTATTTTATTATGAAACCATAACAAATGTGAATTTGTTGGCAAGAGAACTTATTGATGCCATTGTTTGGGTTCATAATAAATTAAAAGTGGCTCCTACTACTCAGCCGAGAGCCTTGAGCATTGTACAAGGACATGTTGTAGGAGTAATCAATTTACCTTCTGGGTGGAATTACCACAACATGGACATTCTTCTTAACAAGAATTTTTGCAGTAAGATATTGACTAGGAGGATTTGAAAGGCATTATGATATTGAGATTTCCAAACCTATTGTTTTACAACAAACCTTAAAGAATCTT